AAGCGGTCTTAAGGCAAAAAATTCCGGCAGGCGGCTATTTTTCTGTTGGTAAAACTGGCCTCTGGTCGATTTTATTGTTTTAATAAACATATCAAATATAGCGTAATGTAATGAGCGGCATCACCATTCAATCACCGCTCTAGCGTCCATCAATTTCGAAAATCGTTGTGGCACTCTCCCGCTGTCGGTCGTGCCGCCGTTCCCGGCCGTCTAGTGTTGCGGCACAGTATATCTTCCAGGCGCGCGCGCTGCTGCCATCTAGCGGCAGGGTTATAACTAGGCCAGCGGCAGAGGTCTGCGCTCGCCGCTCATGCACGAAAGAACAACAGACAACAGTTGGGATCAACTGAAGTAGAGTAAATCGGGCCTTTGTAATTGTGAGTTTAACATGTAGTTACATTATCCAGTGTGAATGTGCGAGCATATTTTCGAAATATAGTGCGCGCACTGAAGATGTAGCAAATTCATGTTTCAATCACATTGCGGCACTAATGACCAATTACCTACCTCCTCTGACAATAGAAAATTACCAACCAGCAAACCAACTAACCTTGTCTCTCCAATGTGTTGCAGATTCCTGGTTATGAGGAAGTCAGCGATGACTTTGTGGCCAACGTCAGAAGCATGATCAAGCAGTTCAGCTCCGGCGTCGATATTGAGTCGGCATTGTTTATGTTCCGACTACCCTACGAGTTCGACAAAGCAATGGAGTGAGTCATGCGTGAATACATACATACATAAATTCGCTTTATCCGCTCCCCCTCTTTCCCCCCCCCCAAAAAAAAACGCTAGACAAAAAGATATGACGTAGAAGGAAAGGAGCTATGACACTGCCCAGCAAACACCTTCGCTTCGATAACTAAATATTTTCAAAAGTAATGCTTATATTTGCATTAAACTTTCAGCACAGGTTCATGGCACCACTGCCACCAGACTGTCCGAGTTTCACTCGAAATGGCCACCCTTGGCCTGCACAGTCGCCGTCAGTCTCCGGCGGAAGTCCCCTACGGCGGCGAACACGACGTCATCTGGGATCCTCTGCCACGCGCGCACGAGATCACGCTTGAGATGGTCAATACTCCTGTGAGGCACTGAGCACACCTTGCTCTCAAGCACAGACCACAGGGAGTAGTCGAGCAGGTTCAGGTCAGGCGATGAGGGCGGCCATTCCTCCTTGGTGATGAACCCCGGGCAGTTGTTTTGGCACCACTGTTGGGTCTCTCGCGCAGTGTGACTGGTAGCGCCGTCTTGCTGGAACGTCCAGTGTAGATCACGGAAGTGGTTTGCGGCCCACGGTTTCAGACTAGCCTCTAGGATGTCCCGGATGTAAACTTCGCGGTTGATCTTCACTCCTTGTGGGACAAAAACCAGTGGTGACTTGCCCGATTCACTCACTGCAGCCCAGACCATCACTGAAGCCGGCTTCTGTGTTCGGAAGACTCTTCCGTGGTCCTCCGGGATGCTCTGGCGGTTACATGAGAGGACTCGGTCATTTTGCTGGTTAAAGAAAGCTTGGACGGTAAACAGCTTCTCATCGCTGAAGACAATGTTTCTCAGAGTGCCCTCACGAAGCTTCCCGCGCAGGAGTTTGGCTCGTGCCAGCCGTTTGGCCTTCGTTGCTGCGCCGAGCAGCTGTCTCGACTGCAGCTTGAAGGGACGCATCTGTAAGTCGCCAGTCACCAGCCGTCTCATTGTTCTTGAGGACATCACTTGTTCTCTTGCCATCTTCCGCATAGACTGGCGTGGATTCCTGCGGATTTTGTCCCTAATTTTTTTGATTGCCACCGGAGTGCGGCAAGATCGCGGCCTCCCAGAGCGCGGTCGGTCTTCCGTTGACTTGGTTTCCTGGAACCTGTCCAGCGTTCGCTTTATGAACATCCGGTTGAGTTTCATTTCCTTTCCTGCATGATGAATCTGTGAGTTTGTCTTTCCCTTCAAAAATTGATTGATCACGAATTCCCTCTTAAGTTTATCATATGAAATCTTCATTCCGGAAAACACTTTAAGAAAATAAGCTCAGATAGCACCGGAGAGACAAATACCCTCTGCGTTTCAAATATGCATAAAAATGAGAACAACAATAGCACGAATTTGATACTTTCAAAAAATGCTCACAATTTACAGGCGTTTTTAACAAGGTACTTGCGATAAATTAATTTGGGTCAAAAGGTCATTAACATCAGCCCTAAAGATTTGTAACAGAACTTACGCCCCACCCTGTATTTGTTTAAACCAGAGAACACTGCTTATGTAATTCAGACAGCTTCGGCTGAATAAGCGTCGCGCCCCATGGAAAGGAGATAACGCCGCGCCTCCGTCTCACAGGCGCTGGATCGAGCGTCGCGGCGGCTTCAACTTGATGATGCCGCTGCAGCCGGACATGATACCCGGCGTGCTGGAGGAGGCAGTCCGCATCGCCAACAACTTCACCGTCTACAGCTGGGAGGGCGACGTCGCCATGAAGAACCAGAGCATGGTGCTGCTGGGAAAGGTGGCCAGCGCGCTGCTCAAGACCAGACGGGACGAGGCGCTCGACAAGTTCGTACAGGCCTTCACTCAGGTGAGCGGCGGACTGAGGAGGGCAGGGTTTGTTGAAGAGGCGCACAGCCGCCACTGACAGCAGCGCTCGGTGGAGAGTGAGACTGTCAGAGAATTGTCTAATTTGGGACTGCTTGGTTAGCGACTTTATGGGACCTGAACTGGGATGCTGGGAGGATAAAAAGGAAAGTCATAAACATCATCAGACTATGTATAAATGCTAAAAAAAAAATAATTCATTCATGAAATTACTTTGGAGTCTCCAGCTCTCCTTCTCCCCCCCCCCCCCCCCCGTGTTGCGTGGTGACTGACAGCTCTGACCAAGCCACGTCGTCTGCCGTTCCAACAACAGGTGCACGCCCTTCTGGCCACCGGGGAGCTGGCGGAGGTGTCTGGCGCGCCCGGCATGGAACTGAACGATAACGACATCTGCAGACGGTGAGAAGGGTACCGAGCGGTGGGGGCGGTAACGGGGAGGGAGGCGACGGGATCACTGGTAAAACCTCAGCAACGGTCCGTGCCGAGTAGTCAGCGGCCGAAGGAGTAGCCCCAGTCATAACGATGAGTCGGCGCAGCTTGTGGGATGTGAAACCCACTACTGAACTGCTACACGCTGAGCCCGTGACCTGCAACGTCTCTCCTCTCGCACTTGTGACCTGTCATCCCCGGGCACATGTAACCCGCACCCCTCCCCGCCTTCCCGACAGGATCGTGGAGATGGCCGTCAAGGAGGACGCCGGCGGCATGAACACACCCCTGCTGCTGATGCGTGAGTAGCACATCAGACACCGCGACGTAAATAAGACACCGAGATAACGTGACACCATGATGTGAAGGTTGCAAAAAGTGGCCTCCCATCAACGATTGAAACTTTTCCGATGTTGGTAAAACCTAATCAGCAGTCATTTTTGGGTAAGATATATCACCAGCTATCCTACAAAATAGCGTTGTAGCGCCCCTGTTCACGGTGCTGTACCGCTCGGGCGCGCACCCGCACCTCTAACGCCCTCCTCCCCCACCCCTACCGTCAACAGGTGACGGCGACGTGTACTCGGTCCGGCCGTCCCCTCTGACCGAGGAACTCATCTGGAAAAAGGTGGTCGCCTGCGAATGTTCCCCCGGAGGAAGGTCCGGGGGAAGGTTCTAGGCTCGCAACAACGAGGAATAACGCAAGGCGTCAGCTCCAGACCCAGTATCGAGAAGAATAACAAAGAAAGGTCGAATTCAGAAAATTGTGGAAGCAATGATTTTAGCGGCACGGGATTGCACGCCCCTGCGACCGTTCTTGTAGGCGCAATGCCTTACAGGGCCTGAATAGTTGACCGCTCCCCTCAGGTCCGAATTCAGTAACCGGGGCTGTTCTTTTATCGGGCCCGCACCACACCTCACGAGATGCGCCCATGTTGTGAACAGGGTAGGGAGATAGAGAGCTCGAGAGCCTTGTGCACACCGTCCTTATGCCTTACGTATCGTAGCGCGGTGTATCTGCATATTTATCCATAGATGTAGTGTGGCCTGACAATGGACAAAGTCGTCACTTGGTCTACAGGCGGTGAAAATAGGGACTGGGTTTGAGCAGTTAGGGCAGTGGGAATGGATTTGCGCAATGGGGATGAGGCTAAGCAACGAATAGAGCTGTTGGATTCGGGTACGGCTCGAAGATTACGCGTTACTCTCTGAAGCTGCTAGGATCGATCTCGTCCGGCGTCGCTGCAAGTGGGAACATTGCTGTGATACTGCGGTCGGCCGACTACCCGCGATGGGCGCCTTACCCCTGCCTCACAGCGGGCACGGAGGTTTGAGGATCACCGTGTCGGTGGCGGACGACCCAGCACCCGGCCAGGCATGCGCCATAACTCTGGATCGACGCACCTACGACTTGTCGCGAAAATACGCCGCTGTCGATGCGAAACAAGCACAGCTGTTGCACGTATATATTCAATTAAGCTGAGCCAGCAGAGCTCCGTCTGTGTGCCTGCATGTGTCTACTGTCTATAGTCTGGGATGGCCACCCTCCGGCCCGCCCCATCCGTCGCCGGGGGAGCGGTCAGAGGTCTAACGTCTGGCGAATTACATTATGGTCACGTTGGTTGTCCAGTCTTTCCTATATCCTATACGTATGTTTTATCCCTCCCCTATAACAGAAGAGCGGCCTTGGCCTACTATGTAACCTTTGTGATGTGAATGTGTAGAGCAACGGAGGAGCTTTCTGTTGTGATATGACGTGCAGTGATGCAGTGGGTCGTTTATGTTACGATGAACAGATATCTGCATAAGACAATGCGAAGAAAGCTCGAACGTTGCACAGAGCTCTAGTAATGGACAGTTTGAGGGGCACCCTTTCCTAACATTATCTGTTTGATGCTATTAGTATAATATCGCGCGAAAATGGTATAAATAATAAATATGTACCTCGCTAACAGTGCCTTGCCGAACACAGCGTCCGTCTTGTGTTTCAAAAATTGTTAACATCGTGATTTATCATGACTGTCAATACACACATCTCCTCCACAAACGGCTTTGAAAGGCAGATCAGGAGATCGAAAGGCTAAATCCACGACAACCTGAACGCCGGCGAAGTGTTGTCTTAGCATCCAACACCGAAAAGCGTGAGTGGTAAATCAATGCAGAAAACATGCCGATGCGCAGTACCATCTGCTATCATGTAACCTTACTAATTGTTGCATCATAAATAAGAGAAGACAAAAAAAAGGCAAAGAACAACGATAGACGGTAACATAACAGAGCACTATCAATGTAAAAAAACGGCATATCATAGGATATGCCAGAAAATACACATAGGCAACAACAAGGCAGGATGTCTTAGCATCATATCACAGCCTACAAGTCTGCAGTGCAACACAACTGAGTCCCTCACATACCGTCAGGTCCCTTGTTCACGATTCTTCTGGCGAACCGGCCTTGATTCATATCCACTTATCGCCCTACGGATGAATGTAATAGCCTGAAGACCGCTCTGTTCCCCACACCAGCCCGAAACAGACTGCAGTTCGCATATTGCGTGAATGCAGGACTTAAACGTCAGCATCCAAGACACAATCGTCACCGGCCAGTGCTGGAATAGCGGCTGAACAAGGAGACGTCTGAGATATATTCGACCATACGCTGTCGTTGGATGTCTATTGACTACAGCTTGCCACAACCATTATGATTCCGAGTTTAGATCCCTGTCGAGTGTCGAGTAAAGGAGCGACGAAAGGGCGCGACTGTGGCGCCACCAGCGGACGATTCACGAACTACAAGCGGGGATGAAGTACTGTAGCGTGATGTCGTCGTGAATGAGAAACAGATGCAGCATTCGGTCCTCAACCAGATCTGAAAATGCACCCATAATCAGAAGATTGACCCACTAACCGAAGTAGTTAAGATATAGTTACAGGTAGATCTTTAAACAAATGTGATTAGAGGATGCTGAGAAATCAGTCAAATAATCACCAGGAAAAGTGTCACTGATCATATTCTGTTCATTCCATCAGTTTCCAGGATGCCGTCCGGAAGCACGGGCAAAGGTAAGAGCCGGCGGCCGCCGGTGATATGAAGCCACATGCATAAGAGACGGATGAAAATACGCCATGATCACGGAAATATAATTAGGTTTCCAAGGCATATCCTCCGCTGCTGGCGATACCTGCCTGATGAGTTTCTGCACTCAAAAACAGTCCAAACCTACGAAGCGGACGACCCGAGCTAAATTCTTGAGCGGAGGGTGAGGAGATCGACAGTGTCAGCTGTCAGACTGGGACATGGCGTCCGTCTGACCGAATGTCAGACTGATATCGAGGCCCGAGGGAGGACTGGGTGCAGGGCCGACAGACCCGCTACAGTACTGTACTCCACAAGTCCACAGCCAGCGTAGGCTACGGGTCCATGGTAACGGGGCAGGATACGAGTCGAGTACCAGCTCAAAGAAAATGGTACGTGGTAACGGGTACCAGAGTATGGCATTAGCCCCACAACTGGTACCGGTGCTTGTACGCGATACTGGGTAGTGGGTATAAACTGTCTGGTACGGCGTACAATTACTGCAGCTACCAGCACAGGAAACCAGCACATGGTTCCAGCACATCGAGCTGTGCTACTGTGTGCTGGGGAAAGGTTACTGATACGGGGTACTGCTACAGGTACACGGCACAAACGCATGGTAAGTACTAAACCACTGATAAGAACAGGACTGAGGAGACGGGGAACAGACGGTACTCACTGCAGACGGCGCGCGCCGGGTGGAACTGGTCGCCAGCCAGGAACATGGAGAACGGCTTGATCTCCACCTGGACGTCAAACATGTGCTCCGAGTCGACATCGTCGTCGTCGGTCGGCTCGTCACCTGGCGAATAGAGCATTCTCATCGTCATCTTCACGATCCCCATCGCTACCACCGCCAACATCAGGATCATTATCTTAATTTGTTCGATTGTCAAGGCGCATCAACGATGCTATCGTACATCGATCATCATGTATCAGTCATAACTTTGTTGAACGACTGGTTAGCATTCAGCACCCCTACATTTAATCAATTATCCGACTTATCTAACCGCCCACAACGTCCCATCCCCCTCTAACTGGCCTGTGAGTGTGACGTCCTTTCCCTCCGTAACCCATAACCTTCCTCACCGGCCGGGTGCGTCCTCAGCTGGCCAAAGTGAGTGGCCACCACCGCCTGATCCGACTCGACCCGCAGTACGAAGCGGCCGGAGCGGCTGGCAGAGACGGTCAGTCGCGGTCCGATGGCTCGCATCCGCTCCACCACGGGCCGCAGCAGGCGCAGCGCCGGCAGGTCGAGACTGACGCTGAACTGAGGCAGGCGCGGCTCGGCAAGACCGGCCCACAGACGGCGCGGTAGCACCGTCACAGGGATGTCGTGGGTACAGAGACGGCTCAGAGACGTCTGCGACGGCTGTGGGCGGGGAGGAGAGGGGGGAGTGTATTCAGTGCAAGTGGTCTGGGACGGCTGCTGGGAGAGAGAAAGAGAGAAGAGAAAAAGAGAGAGGGGGATGAGAGAGAGAGAGAGAGAGAGAGAGAGAGAGAGAGAGAGAGAGAGAGAGAGAGAGAGAGAGAGAGAGAGAGAGAGAGAGAGAGAGAGAGAGAGAGAGAGAGAGAGAGAGATGAAAGGGGTCAAGCAAGGTAGCACAGAGTTGGAGCGTACCAGTCCCGAAACTGACGGAGCGATAGGACACAGTGTGTTGCGCCTATCCCCACTGCTTGGTGGTCTCCACCCTAGCGCGTTCGAGAGATTGTGATATGAATATATAGAGGCTCTCATACTGTGTCATCTGAAGTCATATTCATTTCAACAGCCTGACAAATTATCAGCAGATACGGAATAATACGTACCGACTCGATTTCGAACGTAAGACAAGCAGAGTGTTTCTTGGTGAGCTTGATTTTTAGCGATCGGACGGCCGCACTTGATTTGAGAATGCTCAGAGTTCTGGCCAAGTTATCTGAAAATAACAGGAAAAATGTAAAGTAAAATGCATAGGTGTCCTATGCAACATCAAATACCTCCTTTGCAAAGGGTAAAAAGAGTTGTCACCTGTAAATTCCGATTGCAACCATGTCAAAAATTGCATTAGATTGCTGATCTTCCTTGTGCTGCTACCAATCATATTAAGTATAGTTCACGATTACCATGTACCTGGTTTCAGTTCCAGATATATTTCATTGTGTTCAGGAGAGACTCCTTCCATGTTGAACTCGTTGAAGAAATGCCCTTGCTGAAGCTCGCACCACAATCCTGAAACAAAGAGCTGGCGGCGATAAAATTGGCACAAGGCAGAGACGCAATGTGTCAAACATTCATAAATAGGGATATTTTGTTGATATTGACGCACCCTGTCGCGGCTGCCGCCGCAATGCGAGCGTATCGTCGATGTTCATGAGTTACCTACGTTGGCTCAAGAGCAGCGGGACATTTCAGACCTTTTTGATGCCACCCAGTGGGCGTGTCGATCATCGTTATTATGCCATTTACAACACACCTTCTCATCAGTATATTCCTCAGTAAAAAGGCACAGTTGACCCAAAACAACAACATACGACAGGGCACAAAAGCAATAATTCTAGGTACATGTTGTTCAATTATTGTTTTTTAACAATCCAAAAAATACCTGAATCCTGATACAAATTACATACCATATATTAATCAGTCAGAAAGCACAGTCCCTTTGCTTGGTCTTAAACTTCTCTTAAAGGTAAAGATGAAAAGCTCATCAAGTGAGACATGAGCAGAGAAGGTACAGTATACTGTGCCTTCTCTGTATACTGTGCCTAGGCATACCCACCTGGAGTAGAGCTGAGGGTTGCTTCCATGACCACAAAGTAGAGATGAGAGGAGGTTATCCTCAGGGTGCACATCTTTGCCAGCTTTGCCAGAGTGCTTATTATAGCTGGGGAAAAGAAATAAAAAGTAATATTAGGCATACCTATACCAGCTGAGAAGCTATCTAGCTGATCTGAAAAAAAAATGGTGATGGCACTACATAATACATTGTCTGCTGACATTAAACTCAATTAATGTTTCTCTCTGTCCCATGGAGTAATGTAGTCAACACTTATTTCAGGCATGTTCAGGCATGCATCTATAAAATTTTAGTCTATTGCATTCTGCAGCATGCAGTTATCTTTGATTTTCATTGAAATAGGCAATCATAGGCACCTTTAGACTAGAACAGCTCTGGAACAGTGAAAGCCATGGCACCATAACTACCCTTAAATGTAAGAAATTATTTTCCTCAAGTGCTGGAAGAAGCTGGCAGAACAAGTTGCCATGGCAGAAATTGCCAATCCCTTAAAACCCTTGATAAGCCATGGTAAAACATGTTCACAAGCAGGGAACAAAGGCGGCCTCACATGACAATAAGCATCCTGTGCAGAATGCAGAGCATATCAGCAGGGTTAAAAAGTCAATCAAGCTGCTAAGCCATAGAGTGATGTCATTCTCACAATTAACCAGCCTGCCCTAACCAGAGCACCATTCAGCTGCGCAGTAAAAGTGAAATATGCTGCAGCAAGTATGCACAGTGCTACTTCGCCTGCTAGTTCCGCCCACACCATTGCGTCATTGCATGTGTGACATCATCTTGATCTGCAGCATCAGCATACTTCTCTGCTGGGCAGAATGAAAATCGGTACTGCAGGAGACGAGAGTGGTGCGACTTAAAAATTACTGTCCTTTACTGTTATTCTTATTGTAAGAAGGTTGCATGGTGTTTTTTTTTTGTATCATCACTTTTTTCATGCAAAACCTGCACTACACCACTTTCAATATCCCCTAGCAAAATCCATGGGCACCTGCTAAAGGTCTTCAACTGTGATGAGATTTGCAACCATTATGAATTGACTGAAGATTAAGATCAATTTAAGAAAATATACAGATTGGGATCACTGATCAGGGTGTTCAAATTATTAAAATGACCACTTCAACTTTGACTTACATGTAAACTGCTTTATGCAGGCTTGCTCACATATTTTGCCACGAAACTTCATACTGAATCCGAATTCTGATCCTCTTGAAGCAGCAGAGTGATTGATAATAAAAATCAAATAGGTACCCTAACAATCCGCAAAAATCAGTCGTCGTCCACGTCCAACAGCACGGCGGCGCCCAAGGCGCAGCCTATTAGTATTTTCTCTCGCGTGGGCCACTTTGACTTCCTAGCGCCGCGTGATTTTGAGAAGCTCATTGCTTCCATATAATGCTACCAAATAATAAAGGTTTCCCTCCATCGAAACATAGCACTTGGTGCAAAGGAACTTTGGATCTTGCATCATACATTGTGTATCAATTTTTGGGCACTCGCACTGCGTATCTGATATTGCAGGTCCCAGGCTGTATGTAGGTACGATATAAATGCCATCACACATCACTTATCACTTATATTCATCAGCCGGCCGACTCGATTCTATCCGGCCGACCACCTCTTTTGTCAGGACTTCTTTTCTTGTCCTGGATAATAGACGGTTCGCTCCTCGTGATTTGCAGGCTCACTTGGCCTATGATGACTGGCACCCGCCTGCGGGTTTGACTCATGGACGCTGACGGAGGATCGGGATTCCCATCTTTGCGTTGCCGTATTCGCAAGAAAGGCACTGTCAAATCTTCCATTAAAAACCTTTAACACGAACTGTCTCTACTCACAACTAACATGTAAATCCTTATCCAACCAATCCTGTTTGACGATTGACAGTGCCGTTTAATAACGCGTGCCGTGTGATGCTCCTCCAAAATATGCAAGAAACGGAACGGAGCGGAAAAAATGGGCTTGGGGCAAACAATAGTCATGTGGGACTCAATCGGTTCGGTAACTCAATTTTAGCACCCTTCTTTTGGCTGGGCTTGATGGATCCGACGCACCGATGCGCGGTACTTTCAAGACTCTACGCTGCTATCACAATTCGCAGCTCAAGATTGTCGCAGCTCTGAATAACTTCCAAGCGATAAGGGCCTACCCAGCTAACAGGAAACGTTAGTACAACGTTGTCACAACGTCGTGTTTAGGCAAGTTACGAAATTACGTTTTAATTACGTTGTAGCAACGTTCTGAACGTTGTGAAGCCATGGTTTGGTCCGACAGTTGTGGTAAAACGTTGTGACAACGTTTTATTGGTACGTTGCAGCAACCGCGCACTTGCAGCATTATATTTTGATAATGCATGGTGACATATAAGGCCATATATTGCATTTCCTTTGACTTTCAACGCGCATTTTCAGTTTTCATCGTTAAATTTGACATGTTTTAACACTAAGACTGTTCACGTTGTCAGCTGGTGGTCGCCAACACGTTGTTAAAACGGTTTGTCACAACCTTGACATTATAGGTACTGAATAATTAGCGGTGTTTTTACAAGTAAATTCTGATACCTCTAATATAAAAATATATATATATATATATATATATATATATATATATATATATATATATATATATATATATATATATATATATATATTTATATATATATATATATATATATATATATATATATATATATATATATATATATATATATTATATATATATATATATATATATATATATATATATATTATATATATATATATATATATATATATATATATACCATATAACATATAGTTGGAAGGCGGGTGGGTGACTCCGGTAAAAGGCGGGTGATGGTGACTCCGGTAAGCCAGTCTTTGCCGTAGCGCTCCGGAGTTACTATGGTTTCGGACCGCCAAGTCCGGCACAAATCCGGCTCCCTGCCACCCAAACAATATGCCCGGTTACATAGCATTTTTGTCGGGGCTGTTGCTCACTTCTTCTGCGATAATTTTAGTGCAGTACTTTTCGTATATTTAGATGAGATCATTGTGTTAATTACAAAGCGTCATTGGCATGTTTTGCAACATCACAGGCGGAGCTAGAGGCTTGCAACTATCCCTATGTAGACGCGGCTGTTATCCGCGGCTGCCAGTGAGCCACGCCGGCCGCCAGTGTCGAGCGGTGGATCGCCCTGACCTCGCCGGAGGGGACGTGACGTCAGTGTCACCGGCCGGCGTTCAGAGCCAGCCGGCCGAGCCGCAGTCTGCGCGGCGCGAGCGAGCAGTGAGGGCCGGCGGCGGGCGCGGTTGAGATAGCTGGAAGATGAAAGATAGCGCCAGTTGTCTGCGTTTGATGTGATTATTGCTTTGACTGGTAAGTGAAAGTACCATTTACGAGTAGCATTTGCAAGATTGTGCCTTGTAATATCGTGCGGTCTAGGCTATAGTTCATTGTACGAGTAGCTCTAGCCTCTAAGGTGTTGACATGTTCGATCTAGCCTGTCGCACTGTTACGGGAAGACTGGTGCAGGTATTTTTGTGATTTTTTTCATGAATTGAATGTCTGATTTTCCCTCATGTCTTCCCGCAGACGTCCTGCAACTCGGCAGCGCGCCTTGTGGCAGGCGCCAGGCCTACTGTCGGCAAGGCGGTAGCGAAGTGGCTGTTCGGAAGCTGCGACCGGAACGGGGGGCGCGCAGACCGTCTGGTCAGGCACTGCCAGCTGCCTAGGGAAATCGAGGCCGCAAATGAGTCGGTGCCTAACGGTCCGCCGAGTGATCAGCGAGGGTTAGTGAAGAAGTGAACTTCCACCAGTTCTGGCGTGCTAGCGGCTAGCGCTAGAGCCGGTAGAACCCATTCCGTCCCACGCCCCCATGGGGGCGCCCCTGGGCCCCATGCCCATCACCGATGCCGCCGCTGTCGTTTTTTTTTTTTTTTTTGTAAATTGACCTGTGTGATGTATTGAAATATACACTTCTTACATGCCTTTTTTACAAGTCTAGAGAACGGGAAGCGAGCGTCGGAAACACATTCCGAGTATGTTGCGAACACGTTGAGAGGACGTTGCGAAAATGTTTAGAACATTTACTCAGGGTCGCAGGGACGGCAATACGAAGTAGCGACAACGTGGTGCGCACGTGATAAAAACGTTCAGAAACGTCGCAGAGACGTTGCCAAAGCGTACTAAACTCGTGGTAGTCACGTTGTGGAAACGTGGTGACAATGTTCCAGAAACACTGTTGGCACGTTACAGAAAACATTACATAACGTTGGCGGGACGTTGTGAGAACGGTTTTGGGACGTCACGGTCACGTTACAGAAACGTTGTGACGACAATCAAATGCATGGTCGGATGACGTTGTCACGCCGTTGTCTGGAGTCTACAAAATTACGTTGTCACAACGATGAATCGGAACGTTGTGGTAACCATTTGACAACGTTTAAACGACGTTGTAACAACGGCAAATTGTTAGCTGGGTATCGGGCCCCATTCCGGCCCCTTCAGTGACCGTGACCGTGACCGTGGGCATTTATCGAGGAACGATTGAAAACAAACACCTTTTTTATCGTAAAAAGGCAATGTCCGAGATTCATAGCTATCAACTATTCTTTGATCGGTTTCCCGTTTCGTAAATAACTTCGTATTTTCGTAATTGTCGTATCCATTTTCGTATCCGTTTTCGTATTCGTAACTTCGTAGGTATTCGTATTCCTATTTTTCGTAATTATGCGTAGTGCACATATATCGCCTGCCAAAATCTAATGCTTCCCAGGGACGTGCTCACCCAAAATGTCGATGCTCCCAATCACAGGGGTCCGTTTCGGCGATACAAAAGTGTATTAATATACATGTTTTACATTCGATGAGGGTCACAGTGCTTCAATTAGTCAGTATATTCTGGTATCACTTAGTGGTCTTCTAAGTGAAATAACGCCCGCCGCGCCATCAGTCGCGTGCCAAGTGCGCCCCGTCTGCCTTTAAAACCGCCTGTCATTTTTGAGCATTTCATTCGCAGTCACCGCGGGAGAATCGCCTCCGTCCAGCGCACCTAAAAGCGGTATACACACAATGTGCAGCATTTGATTGTAAATTACATCACAGACATTGTGAAAGTCGCACTTGGGTCGGACGAGGAAGAGGCGGTTGGGACGGCCGGGAGCCTGGTCGCCGCGCGGCAGGGCGACCGACCCGGAGCCGACCATACGACACGTCCAGTACATACCGCCGAGAGCACGCGAGCGAGCCTCCCAATCAGCTAAAACCGGCGCCACCCGAGCGGCTGGGGCTCGCACTAAAATAGTACAAACACGAGACATAGGACAAAGATGCACTACAGAGCACAGCGGAGGAGACAGCAGCGGCGGCGGCGGCGGCGGAGGCAGGTCGGCGGCCGCGTCTGGCCGGCCGGCCGACCGGCGCCGCCGCGCCGTCGATCTATGTACAGATGAGGAGCGCCGGCCCGCCCGCGAACAGAGCAGACGGGCGCTGAGGTAAGGCGTCCGGTCGCTGCCGCCGCCACCGCCGTCGGCCCGACTAGATACCGACTGATATGAGAGAGACCACCGCGCCGCAGGGAGCTGCTACACCAGTGAAAGACAGACACACGCCAGTCACACACGCCGAGCGCCGATCGCTCGCGCACAGCCGCCTACACACGCGCACGCTCCAGGCACACATTCACCACACACAAACCACTGACACCCGCGCCCGACGGCCGGCCACCGGCGGGCGCCACTCTGGTCCCGGTCTCGGAGAAATGGGCGGCGCTCGCTCTCCCTCCCTCCCACACCAACTCTCTCCCTCCGTCCCTCGCACTCCCACTCTGTGTCCCTCGCGGTCTATTGTGTCCTCCATGACGCGTCCAGTCGCGCAGAGACATCGCGTCCAGTCGCGCAGAGATCGTGCGCGCGACGCGGCCCGGCTGTGTGGCATGTGAGATCAAGTCGCGTGCCGGCCGCGCGCGCGCCGCCGCCGCCGCGGAGTGCCGTCAGCGGGCGCGGCCAGCGGCAGCGGACGAGTCGGCAGTCGATAGCTGAGAATGCCCGCTCGCCGGAGCGCGCCCTAGTCAGCGCTGGCGTCACGCCTCCCATTGGTGAGGCGAGGGCGGCAGCTCACTGGGATGCGCTACGGTCGAGCTGGCGAAGCTCCTGTACGCCGCCGACTGCGGGTTGATACACAGCGGCACCTTCTCGGGACTCATGTGGTTCACGATGAACTTCCGCATCCGGTCTGTGGGGAGAGTGGGGCGACTGTCAGCATACTGAGGACTGGGGTGGCAAGCACGGCATGCTAGCGCCGTCTGGTGTCAGAGAGCCAACATCTGCTTTCTAATCTATCCACTAGAGGCGCTGCCACTAAGGCACAGCTCAGTCAGCCAGAAAAGGCAGATACCCCACGACATCCACAAGCACAGAATAAGCAGCCCTTTATATCAAACCCCATTGGTCGCTCTACGGCCCTAAAGCTATTTCATGGGTCCAAGCAATATCACCACCGGACAACTGATCAGGACATGTCAGATACGCACCTTTAACCTGGACGACCGACGTCAGCTCGCGCTCCCAGGTATCGTCGAACGCCTGGTGCGCGCTCGGCTCGTAATCCTGTGTGTACTGACGGGGCTGGCCGCCGGCCGACCAGCAGCAGCGGCACATACAGGCGTGGTAGCGCAGCCGGCCCTCGTCCAGGTACGGGTGGCTCAGCGCGTCCGTCACGCGCAGACGCTTCGCCTGAGGAGGGAGAGAGGGGGTGGTCAGAGGGGGCAAGTCTAGGGGAAGGCGCACGGAGATAGATTGGTTGATGTTGAGACGCAAGCAGTGAGACTTGGTGAACTGGTAAACGTCTATCAAACACCGCGCTTAGGTCAGAAAATCGTTTCCTATTTATAAGTATTTCCTAGTAAGTGGGTTCCCAAGACCGGAGTTAGCCGCAACACTATTTGATGAACAGCAGCTTTCTGAGGTGCCGGTCGGCTCGGTCAGTGCGGCCAGCGGAGCCGGTCCTCGCCGGCCGTTTCACCGCTACATCAGACCGTCCTATCCACCGTCAACATCGGCGTATTTCGTAACTTCCATGACGTCACCGCCGTCTCTGAGTGACGTCACACGCGCCAGCACGGTCTTACATTGGCCGCGGAGCAGTCAGGACAAGACACCGGCACGTGGCTACTTAGGTGTCGCAACACCGCCGGATCAGCCACGGCTAAGGCACGCGAGCAAACTGCAACATCGACGCAACCATGCCCGTTTGACGCCTCTGCGGACTGGGGAGAAAACAGGCGTCCCGTTCACACCTCGCGCTGTTGTTTGCAGGTAATCTCTCGTGCCAGATTGGCTCACCGCGCCACGTGCCATGACAACAGGTGAAACAGGCATTGTCTGACGGTGCCAGTGGGGCACCATCGGCTTGGAACCGTTACATTGTACTGGCAGAAACGACTGTTAGTAAGACCCTCAGTCTAGGCTAGTCGTCCACTTCCGCATCTAACCAGGGAGTGACAGGAGAGCCCTTACTGTGGGCTAATCCCTAGTACTGGCGGATAAATCCTCTTGCCCTTGTAATACGTCATATAATCCGGAAGCGATGTAAGGCCAGTAGGAGGAGATCTTGTGTAACGCTCAAGGAACTTGCCAAACTACAGAAACAATGAGTGGCCGCTTCCCGATCAACTTTCACAAATCAACTTTCGGCGATCCTTAATAACTGACCCAACAATAACAAAATGAAAACATTTTCGCGCTGCTGACTTCGGAAGCATGCTCCCGTCCACTTAGCTCAGCTTCCTACCACATCCTGGTTCCGTAACTCCGAAACCAAAACACAACGAATCGGATTTCCAGCCCACCTCCGTTTATACATTATTCAGTCCAATCTCCGTAACCATCGAGCTGCGCACTACACTATCAGTTCCTGTCTCTCGAATTATGTAATCCTCCTCTCGATCCTTCCCAGGCCTGAGGTCCCACCTATACCCTCCCCAACAGCTCCCCGACTGATCGCAATTCTCACTGGACTGAAGGCGAGCATCTGAGCCAGGAGGTGGACGGCATCGGGACTCGTCTGACTGGAGAGACTGTAGAGCACATGAAGCGCGGCCGGCTTGTAGGGGCGGCGCATCATGTGCTGGCGCGCTCCCTGGCACACGGTGGACATATCCTCGGCACTAGGTGAGCCCAGTAGGTCGGTGATCAGCTCCAGCTGCTGGATCGGTGTAGACGCCTGTCGAAATACGGAGAGAAAGGTCAGGTCACCGGTCGGGTCGGGTTACCAATCGTGGGTCAGAGTCCCGGGGGCAGGGCATGGGTCAGAGAAGGTTGCGTATGAGGCCGGGTGATATTTGAAGGGATGGAGGCAATCGCCGTGGGCGCGGCATGACAGGAAAAGGCGAGTAACAAACACAGTGTGTCCAATCAGATGGAAAGTCGCCCTCCGTCCAGCACTCAGGTCACGCCCGACCCGCTCACCGCCTCACAAAGGTCAGGATAAGGTCAGGGCGAGCACACGGACGGAGGTCCGTGCGGAGAAAACACAAGAGGTCGACCGGGCGTGACAGACCAGTTTGTACCACCACCGGCCCTGGATGCTGAGTGCTGACAAACTAACAACCAGTCAGCCGGGTCAGTGGGTGGTGAGGGGCGGGTGGAGTAGGGTCAGGGCCGGGTGGACTGTCACGACACCGAGTGTGTGTGTATGCGACAGCACCGCGCCGGTCGGGCCACGGTCACCTGGTATTGGCCGGAACCGTCACGGCCGGGCACGTGCCCAGTCGGCCGGAACGGGTCACGGTCAGGATTGGACAGAATGTCACCGAGGTGCCAGCGTGTGACAAGGGGTGTCACTTAGGTACCGTGAAACAGGGGACAGATTGTCAAAAAGATAATGTGTAACAGGGAAGCGAACAAGTGTCACCGAGGTTTGACGTACCGCGTGGCAGTCCGCCCTCCAGAGGGCAAACATTTAAAAAGTGAGATTTCCGACCAGCGCACTAAAATTTGGTACGAAGTGCTTAACTAAATGCAGCCCCATCATTGATATCCTTGAAATATCAACAGCAAATATCTCATTAGGCAACCACCAAACAGAACACAAGCCTTACCTGGAAGAGGATTCTCCTTCCGAGCAGCTCTGCGAATATGCAGCCGACCGACCACATGTCGACGGCGGCGTCGTAGTGTGTGGCGCCCATGAGGATCTCCGGGGCGCGGTAGTACTGCGTGACCACCTCCTGGGTCATGTGGCGGCGCCGGTTCGGTTCCTCCACACGGGCCAGGCCGAAGTCGCAGATCTGAGGGAGAAAGACAGAGGGAGGTGTAAGAGAACTGGGTGTAGAGAAGCAACTCAGATAAAACGCTTCGGCGCCACCGGTAAACAGCAAATGGGCATTAACAGGAGGCATTTATAACAATATTCGTTGCATAAGCGGAAGTTTGACAAGAAAGCTGAATAACCAGGGAAGAACGAACAAAGGCTAACGGTAATATCAAGTAATTCCGCAGTGCCCCGGTGTTCAACTAGGTAACAGGCGTTTCGCAACACCTTCCAACGGTACATCGTAATGCATTCACAGCTGGACATAGCAGCTGATATCCTTCTGCAAAACACAGATGCGACGAACGCGAGGCCGACGGCCGGCGCCCGGTTGCCAACCGAACCAAATAGCACACATCAGTCAGGGATTGCGTCGGGCGTGGCGGCTGACCCCTCCCCTAGGTGACAGCTCTGTGTCAAAACGCAGCCGCCGGTTATCCGTTCCGTGACGATCTCCGCAAACCAGCAGTGTGGCTCAGCCGTCCGACCCAATTTAGCAGCCGGCGGCCGCTTTCTCTGAGGGTCACCGCCAAAAAAAAAAGCGGGCTCTCGTAGCGACTGCGGCGCAGCGCGGGGAAAACGAGCCAGACGCCGAGAGTGCCCGGGTCTGCGGAGCGCCCAAAACCAGCTCGGCAGCTGGCGCAACGCTGCACCGGCGGCCGCGCGGCAGCTGCCCTCTCGGCGCCGGCAAAACTCGCCGGTACATTGATCAATCCGCGGTCGACGGGCGGGCCGCCAGCGCACCGCTCATAGGGCGCTGCAGCCGGCGCGCACGCGACTCCCGCTCGGTGCTGCCACGTGCAGCGGCGCGGCCGCTTTGTGCGCCAGCGGCCGCGTGCAGGACTCTTTGTCCTCCGTCGGCCGGACGGTGTTCTATATACTCTGGGCCGGACGAGCCGCGGCGCGGCGCTGCCGGCCAGCCGGCGCGCCCCATTGGATTCCCACTTGGCGGCGGCGGCCCATCTTGATCTGCGCCCGAGGCCGTATAAACTGCCGTCCGAGAAGGACAGAGGATGGCAGGCGATTCGGCCGCCTTCCAGCAGCGCGAGACAAAGGCCTGCAGAGCAACATGGGAGCGGCGCCGGGCCGCGCTGACGTGGGGAGAATTAAATTGGGCCGGACCGAGCCAGACTGGTGCAGGGATCGATCGGGTTTACATGGAAATGAGCTGGACGGAATGACGACACCGCGAGCTTTGACAAGATGGTGAGAGTTTCGCCGAGTTTGGGGTGGAATGAGGCGAGTTCTTGGTACGATTGGCAATGAACTAGGCAAAAGCCAGCCGATGGGAAATCGTACGTGCTCGGATGGGTCTCTCATGGTCCCACATCAACCTCAACGGACCCACAGCACCGCTCTACCCTTACCTACCACAGCCCCAACCCCTTCCTATATGCTATTATGAGTACCGAGAGCACCATGCTTCCTGGAGAGGGAAGCTATGCACCGCGGCAGCCCCATGGTCAGCACCGGTCACCGGTTCTCCATCACCTCACCAGGTACCGTACAACGTCAGAGCCATGTCCGCGCTCACACTACTTCCTCTGAGTCAGAGGGCGACCAGGAATGAATCGCACGTGAGACATTACCCAGCGGCTCTGTGATTCATGGGCTTTAAATGAATTTCCGCCAGGTCAACGGTGCTTCCTCTGACAAACACTCGCCAGGGTTTTTTTTAACATAAGTTCCTCAACCCTGTGCACGAAATGTCACCAGAAATCCAGTCGCTATCGTTCATCAATGATCAGCTTCGAGCAGTTGATTACGTCAGTAAGCAACCGGCTAAATACACTAAAAGGCCGGTTTTCATCCCCAGCAGCTCTCTTCACCAAATTTATCCAAACCGGCACACACCACAGCCAGTCAATACCCTCCGCGACGGCCCGGGAGCCGGACGGCAGCTCAGACAGCTGTTTTGTGTGTTCTGGCCGACGGCCAGCAGACCGAGAGATGTGCACCACTCCAGGGGGTGCCCATGCCGCATTGGGTCAACACTCCACGCGTGGTCATCTCGCAGAGCGCCACGCAAGATGTGCCATCTGCTGGCTTGGCAGGCGGTCCTCGTATCGGCAGGCTAGTATACATTTTATACAATCGACATGCCTATATCACCTGGCGAGCCCGTATCACCAATCAAGTTATATCACCTGGCGAGCACACATCACCCGGTGCACGTGACCACGGGCCGGCCCGGTGGCAGAGATCAGCTGCCGTATGATGGTGCTAATATGGAGCAGCTGGACCGGCAGACACGCTGCAGCAGCTGCCACTAGTGACCCTCGGACTGCCCGCATAGGCGACCCTACCCGACCCGACAGAAAGCCAGGGTCATCGGAGCCACTTGGGGACAGAGCAGCGCCCGTCCGCCATCCCCGTCACCCTCTGGGGACACATGGCGGTCGGTTCGATGGTGGGAAGACAGAACCTGGGAGACGCCGGCGGGCAATCCCTCCCCTCCCGCCGCGCACATCCCTGAGCTCACAGAGCCGAGCGACAGCCAAGGCCAGCCCAGCTGGCGGGCCGGGCCGCTCCACAATCAGTCGTCCACGCTCCATCGGCGGCGGCTCCGTCGTCGCCGTCATTCGGCCCATCCGTCCATCCGTTCGGCGCGTCCGTCCCGGCAACAGGCCGGTGAAAGTGGCGCCCGGCGACACGCGGCACTGCCGGCGCAGCGCGGCGAACGGCGGCGCAGCTGACCCATTTCGCCGCGCCGGAGCACGCCGCGTCCCCGCCACCTCTGCCGCGGCCGGGCGCGCACAAAGAAGCGACGTTTTTGCCCGGTTTCTTGCGAGTTGGACGATATTGGTGTTCCGACCGGCTGGTCCGAGCCCTGGGGGGACGGCCGCGTTCGGCAACCACCAATTATAACCTACAGAGGAGCGGCCGGCGGGGCAGAGAAAAACGCTGCGTCCGCGGTCATGAGACAGCAAGCTCACCTTTAGGACACAGTTTGAGTTGACCAATAGGTTGCCGGGCTTGATATCTCTGTGCAGGATCTTAGCCGAGTGCAGGTACTTGAGGCCTGAAACGGAAATTTCTCCCGTCAGTCAACTGCTCGCGAGCCATTGCGAGAACAAGGAAAACCTAGCACTGTAACGACAATGGCATCACCCACAAATATGTAACCAGTGTACACAATACAGCAGCATTTATGTTGAGCAGTCACGAAAGGACATTCTCATTCCCACACGGACACACTGACAGCTGATACACTCGGTCTATCACGGGTCTCCTGAGCCATAATCTACGGTCATTACATAGCCTCTCACCACTCGCACACACACACACGGCACACAGGGCACACAAACAGGACAACGGAAGCGCGTTTACGGTGCGTCGGCACGGTCACAGCGGTGACAATGGTGCGCCGCGTCTGCCGCTCAGCCGCGTGCCCAAACCCAGCCACCAGCCACAAATTGCCTGTCCACAAACAAAGCCCGGTGGACAGCGGCTCGGGCGGAGGCGCGGTGGGACAGCGCACAGTGCGTGTGTGCCGTGACGGGCGTGTCAGGGCGGCGGGCCGCCCCCGCCCCCGCCCGCCGCCCGCCGGGCGGCCAGCTGGGTGGGGGCGGCTATTTTCTATCATCGATCGCCGCCCTCAGCTGCACGCAGTCGGCAAGGCCGCCCGCAGCTGGCGACCGACCAAAGCTCAGCCGAAGCTCCACCAAAGCTTGAACGAGGCTCGACAAAGGCCGTTACGCCAAAGTCCCACGAACTACTGCACAAAATTTAACAAAGGCTCGGTCATATGTCTCACAAAACTCAACCAAAGCTTCACCAGCTGTCGGCCAACTCCTAACCAACTCTCCAAGAGTGCCTGATCCCTGTGGCGACATCTCAACTCGGCGTGGCTCTTTCGACCCTGGAGGAGGCAGCGAGGCGTGTCGAGCTGTACGGCGCCGAGCTGGGATCGTGCGCAGCTCCTCTCCCTTTCACCGGGTGGGTCGGTCGCACCGTGCCGCGGCCGCCCGGTCAGGTCGTCAGGCAGGTGCCGATGCCGTCTGGTGGTGACGGGCGATGGGATGGGATGGTGGGAGAGAGATGAAACGATGGGATGTTCCCGCGGGAGGGAGGAGGGACGATGGGATAACACGTTGGGAGAGAGAAGGGATGATAGGATAGCACGTTGCTAGAGGGCAGGCGGCGATGGGATGCTACGGCGGGATAGGGCAAGGCACGGCAATGGGACAGCGCATGGCACCGCCGGAACGCCATGATTAGAGTCGCCCACACGGCCACAGCGCACCAATCACGTCCAGGCGTCTCGATGGTGCCACGCGCGGCTCGCAGTCATCATCGACTCATAAGAGTCGTGACGAGTCATGGAAGCCCGCGAGTGAAGATGTGATCATCACAGAGTCGGTGATAGAAAAGATCCCTACGCATTGAGCCATAGCTTTGCGTCCATGTAGTGGTTATCCTACAGCATAACTCAGTCATGTTGGCATGTCAACTAAATACCTCAATATGATCATTCACATAGCAACATGGCCAGTCGATGTGAATCAGCACACACCTAAAGCCGTAAAATAGGCTCGAAATAGCTCGCCCCAATGCCACTTACCACATCAACTCGACCGTAATCCGCGTACCCAATCGCTCAATCGCTTTAGTCACAGGACATTCATCACCAGCTCAGACTCGGACATACCTATGTAGATGGCACCCCGATTACCGCAACACGCCGCAATGACGCAACCTGACGCACCGCGTCACTTTTACTTCCCAGGCGATCTGATCGCGACGCGCGGCCGCCGCCTTTCCTGACCGTCCGACTGCAGGGTTGCCGGGCGCGAACAGTTCCCACGCCGGAGCTAGCTCGTCCCCTCATGGTTCGCAGTGATTCCCATCTCGCGCCCTGCCAACCCGGAGCCGGAGCGGCAGTGAGTGCCGCTGCAGCAGCGGCGGCATACCGGGGTGACCGCTGGCATCTCCGCCCCGCCGGGTGGTATCCGGTGCAGACAGCAGCTCAGGATAGACAAGGACCCCGCACTGACTGGCCAGGAAACCCATACAAAATGATAAACCAATCACATGAAATCGTTACTGTCATACTGTCCTTGTCATTGCCAGACCCTAACAGTGGTTGCTGTTATAGCCTAGTATTCAGACGCCACCAGAACGCTCCAGGTCTCAGTAAACAGTGCTGACCGGGTCGGTCACCAAATGTCACCATGGCTCGCTCGTGGCGCTGCCTCTCCTCATCGTCTGCGGCTGGTGTTGCGGTTAGCCGTGGGGCTCTGGACACGTGTTGCAGTAGTGTGCGGGAGGTCCTCAGACATCCCTCATCCGTCCCTCTCTCTGCCTCCCCCTGACAGCCGGAGCAGTGAGTTCAGCCTGCTCCTCCCCTGCCTGTGGGACACACTCAATCCCGCCCACAGTGGGCCAGCAGAGGTGCTAGTGCTGCCAGAGAGGCCATAAATGCAGTGTACAGTGTACACATTGATGATTCGAAGGCCAGTGAGAGCATGAAGAGGCAAAACGATGACCATGACGGTACATGACGGCTCTACAGCTGCGGAGCTCTCCGCCATTGGACGCCATAGGCATCACACTCGACTGGTTTCGTCTTTTGAGCGGCTCCGGCCGGGAGATACGTGGCACTTCCGCTGTCCGGCGGCGGCCGCGTGTCCGTCCTATCCCCGACCTCGGTATCGGAATCCCCTTCGCCGCTATCACAGCAGAGCCCCACACCGAGCCCGCGCCGGCCAGAGGAAATACCAGTGGAAATGCCGCAGTCCAAACCGGGATACCGAGATCCGCTTCGACTGGTCCCACGCTATCGAGCTCACGTCAGCTAGCCTGAGGAGAGCCTGCTGATGCTTCAGTCGTCATCACTACTATCCTTGTCTAGACCCGCTCTCTGGAGAGACTTTCCGGGTGGCCACCTCATCGGGACGCCGAGCCGCCACCGCAGTCATTTGGAAGGCACGGGGATGTCCTGGAGTGAGGGCGCCGAGTCGCGGCAGCACTGTCCTCGGTGCCACGAATAGACGGCCTCGGTAGGCAGATTTTACCACCGCGCTCTGGCGGCCGGCACGGCTCCCAAAGAGCGTCCCTGTCTGGCTTCGTAGCATTGTCACAGCCGGCAGTTGCTGGCACAATGGTAGGGCCAGCGTTGTGAGCGTGGAACGGCTGCCACACGAGAGCGCGCCAGCAGCGTCCCTCCGAAGCCGTGCGCGGCGTGTTTCACAATTCACACGGGCCACGTCACACGGGCAATTCACGCTGTGCGAGGCCAGGTGTTTCCCTGATGATGGGAGAGCCGAGAGAGGAGAGAGGAGAGAGACGAAAAGAAAAGAGGAGAGAATGAAAGGAGATGGGAGGGAGGGGAGAAGAGGGAAGAAGCTTTTATGACAATAGTACCAGTGCACTGCTGGGTAACCAGTGAACTACGCCCGGCGCCACAAGTAAAACATCGCATATAAAACTGGCACAGCTTTTGTTTGCAACAAACATCGGTCAGTACCTACTGGCTGCGACCCGTGGGATAAAATCACGCAGAGTGAAAGTGCGTGGTAGTGCAACCCCCGGAAAACCGGTCACAGTCGCCCCGGGTCGCGGTCACCACCATAGCTGACCTGTTTCCCCGAGTTCAGTGGGTAAAGTTCAGGGCCAAATGGCCTAACCTCCACTCGCCGGTGAGGGGCCGACTGCAGCGCCCCTGGCGGCTAGCCGGCGAACCACACCGGTGAAAGAGAGTGAAGCGGCAACGGCGGCAGCCGCGGGCCCTCGATGTGGGTCAAGTTCTTCGGAGCCGTCAGCCGGCCGGCGTGAGGCGCGTTTACGAAACAGCGCCGCGATTGCCGGTTCGGTGGGCGGCTCGGGAGAGAGAGAGGGCCGGATCGCAGCCACAAAGAGCCGGCGGGAACGGCGGCGCCGGCCCGTGACCGTCGTCAGGAGCCGGCCGCGCTCAGCGAGCAGCGCTGCCCGCTCACCGCGCGGCCTTAACCCGGCGGGCAGTCGCGCACGGCCGCCCTGGCCCTGGCCGCTCCGCTAGATACGGCGGCCTCTCTCACGCACATCCTGTCAGCCAACCTACCGAGTCAGCGCCATGGCCCACCCGAGCCAGTCACCCCGCCCGCGACAAGCGTAGCCGAGGTCGAGCTCCGCCAGCTCAACCGCTCTGAACTGACACATCCCAATCCACCAGCCTGAAGCCACGAGTCAGTCTCCGAAATGAGACCAGTAATGTGTAACAAGTCAGACGGACCGGCGGCCGTGAGTGATTCGACTTCCGGCTCGGCGCTGCGCACACGCCCGCTCGTCGGGTGCGTTCATTCAGTTTCCGGGAATCACGCTGATATCTCACTGGGTCCCGGAGGCCAATACCGACATCTCAACGGATCGCTGGACCCAATACTGACATCTGAACGGATCGCTACGGGTGGTCAGAAATCCAGTAAGATGGAGTTCAGTTCTATATTTAGGCTCACTGTCAGAACAGATCTGCAATTACGGAGATAACACGCGTTCGTGCAATTTCCTTTCTTCGGGAATGGTCACACCGATGGCATACTAAAAGTTTATTCCGCCTGCCGTGAGACTGCTTAGACTCCTGGTTGAGCCTGCTACATGACCCATACCGACCGTGCGAGCACATGGACTAAGGCTGGACAGCCGTGGACGGTGGTCACCACACCGCGAAGGCCGGGTGGCGACACCGTCCACACGTCCACCCGACACACTGTGGACAGTGTGGACAGGGCGGCCACCGCGGCCCAGGCGCTGTGTCGTCACAGGCTCGCGATCGGCCAGTATTGCGCCGTCGCGCTGCCCCGACCGGCCTGTCCAACAATGGGTTTAGTTCGCCCGGCTGGCTATGGAGATTGCTGCATATGGCTCAGCTGGGACCGTGGTAATCCAACCAGAACCGGCGCAAGGCAACACACACCATCGATCGTTGTTTAAAACAACTCGCAATAACTCGTACTGATGACAGTCAGCTAGTGTTTACCTACAAACGCAACTCTCCCTGACCTGACCGTGACCTGACCGTGACCTGGCCGCGACCTGACCGTGACTGGACCGCGACCTGTCCCAGCCCGGTATGACGTCATACGCCGGGTCAGGTGTACCGTCACACAGCAGTGGCACAGGTGACGCAATATGACCCACATCCAGGGCCGGCTGTTGCACAGCGAGCCTGGTGGCCGGCGGATCCAGTCGAGCCTGTCTTCACTAAGAGATACAAAGCGCAGTTGCACAAAACTGCCAGAGAAAAATTCACAGGGTGGGGCAGACGAGAACGGCGGAAAAATAGGCTCCAACTAGACCAGATGCAATGGTTCAACTAATGAAATTACTGAATATTCACACATTTCCCAAGATTCAATGATATCATTTAACACTGTGCCTTTGTGGCGAAATGGCTCGCTGGTTATTGGTTAATCCAGTGCGCCACATTTTATGAAACCCGCTCAGAGTTCCACGCTCATGAGGTAAGTTTCGGTTGGTTTAGTGGCACTGGGCGCACCTCGGGGGCCGTATGTCCCAATCTGTGGGAAGTAGCGCGTCTGTTCGACTGCAGGAGCTGGGGGAGGGGCGTACACAGAGTGGTAAGGGCGGAGCAGACCCCACGGCTCACCTAGGTACATTATATGTACATATGTGAGAAGGCAAGAAGAAAAAGGTGGGAGAATGGGACACTCACGCGGCCGCCTGATCGATAAGGAAGTCTGCTCGGACACCCTTAGCACAAATTGCCCGGGTGCAGACAGCACCCGGCGTGCGCTGCGCACCCGCTGCCCGGAGCGCCCGAGCGGGTCATATCCCACACGTCGAGGCCAAGTTTGACGTCATCCGTCCGCTGCACACCGGTCATGAGCGGCGTATGACGTCACTCAGTTGGCGCAGTGACGTCATACTGAGCGCCGGCGGCGGAGCTCGATTGGCGTCAGCCGGCCGGGGTGAGCTACAAGTTCGCAATGCTGACGGATGAGGCAGTGACGCGTTCAATGCGGGCAAGGCCGTCCTAACAGCACTGGGCGGTGTCACACTCAGTAACGACAGCCGGCAGCTGATGTCGCCACGACCGTCACAGCTGCCGGCGGGCGCACCCAGACCGTCACGGGTGTGACGCGGTGTGCACTGACGGTCCGTCCGCCGTCACCACAAACAGACGGGTGGGCCAGCTCAGAGGGCGCGGGGACCATTGCGGTCACAGAATATAAACGATGACTCATAGAAGGAGGCGGGGTCAGGAGACAGTCATCTCCCGACGGTCCGCCGCGTCACCGCCAGCCTCCGACACAGATGCGAACTAAGTGGCGAAGCCAGCTCACCGCACAACCCATCGGCGAAGCCAGGGCAGCAAACTCCTCAACCACACTCCAGAACATCCCAGCGTCCCCTTCCCTCTCTGACGACCAATTCCAAAGAGCTGTTGCACGCGTTTTCCCGTGCTCGGCGCGGGCCTGGCAGCGTCCCTTAGGGCACTGCGCGACGCGTCTCAGTAATCAATCCGCACCAGCCGAGTCGAGGGTGAAATAAATCGGCCGGTAGAGCAGCAGCTCAACTGGTGCCTTCTCCGCCTCAGCGACGAGCGCCTGGCTGGATATGGGCCTGTAGTGGAGTCTAGGAGGGGAAAGCGGTTGTGGGCCTGGCAGGCAGCCGCTAGGATATTTTGAGCAAATAAGGTAGGGTGGGGAGAAACAACGGAGCATGCCCGGATCGAGGAAAGAGCAACAAAGGGCCAATCTGCTAAAGTAGCGAGCGGCGACACCCGACAAATGTCGAAGACGGGAGACAGGATGTGTAAGTAAAAAGACGAGAAAATGTGAGAAGATAGTTAGGCATTGGCAAAAAGTAGGAGACACCAAAAGTATCACACACGTCTCGAACATACCACCGGAGGAAAAGGAATGCGCCTCGAGATGAGACGGTAGGGCAGCGACCGAGCGGTCATCCTCCAATAAACTGTTCCATGGTACGAAACAATGCCAGGCGAACGGGGCGACAAGACACCAGGGGCAGAAGAAGGCGCACAAAAACATGATGCATCACCGGCGCCGTGAAAAACGGCGGCGTCCTACCGACAACGAACGGTGCGGAATGGGTTGAGAGGATGGAGGGCGGTGCCCGAGGGTCAGATGGCAGGGCCTCTGGGTCCGTGTATGATCCCAGTCGTACCGGTACTTTGGGTGCCGTTGGCCGTCTGTCTCTCAGTGTTGTCTGTATGGGTGTCTGTTTGTGTAAGTCTGTTTGTCGGTCAATGTGGACTAGGCGCGAGTGCCTATCCGTGTTAGTGTATCTCTAGGTGTGTGCTCATGTCAGCCGAAAGTTGCATGTTAATTGAGTGAGCTTGCTGTGATCGAGTGCGTCAACCAGCCATTCGGTGCTAAATCAGATGTCTGCGGTCAATAAGTGTGTTGGTCTGCTTGGGTGACTGTGCTTGTCTGTCCGTCTATCTTTGCGTTTACTCGGGTATCGGCATTGGTATCTCACTGGTTGCCAGTATCTGTCTGTGTCTCTGTGTCTGCTATGTCCCGGTGACGGTGCCGGCTCCATCGCCCCGCTCGGGCGTCCCCGCCGGGCGGCACTGTGATCGATACCGTCCTACCGTGCTCCGCCGGCGGTGGATGCCGACTTCAATCTGCCCCTCGCAGCGAGCGAGCGCCGCGCCCGGCAAACGAACGGCCCACGCCGGCTCCCCATCAACACACACACACACACTCACAGACAAACAGACACACAGACACGCAGGGTGGAGAACGAGCGACGGAGGAGCGGCGGAGGTTCGGCAGAGCAGGGGACAGGGTGACACTGGCATCGCGCCAGACCGTGACACCAGAAGTTGGGCGAATCTGCAGAGCCGGGACGAAAACTGGACAGGGGAGACAGAGAAGCGCAGTAAATGGATGGCTGGGCGGATACAGAACTCCTCAAACGTCACTCGATTCCGACTCAGTCACACTCGGCTCAAATAATACGTCTCTGATGGTTAAAATGCATGAGCAGACAGATGCTAACCAGCCTCAACAAACAGCGCACCAACTCACTTCTAAACAACGTGACAATCACAACAAACAACCGAGGCACTGCAACTCAAGGACCATTGCCCTCTAGTGCGGCTACAGCTCAACCCGACCACACATAACCACTAACTCTCCTGAACCCGGCCTGTTCACGACACTGATGGCATAAACAGCGATAACTCGATACTGATCACACAAACCGAACATCACATCAGTATCGGTGACAAATGTTGCGTCACCGCTACACTGACGCCCCACTTCCCCTGACTCCCCCGCACAAACCCCTTCGGCACTCACCTCGGAGGATTTGGTAGAGGAAGACTTTGACGTGGTCTGCCGACAGGTGCTGTGGCGACACGATGATCTTGTGGAGATCGCTCTGCATCAGCTCCGTCACAACGTATCTGAACATGTGACAGTCAAGGAAAATAACAACGGACAAGTACTGTAGGCATTAGATAAACATAATGACAACTGGTCATGTTTTAATTCTCTGAAAGCAAATATGGAGCGGGATGAATGATGCACAATTCTAACTATTCGTTTGACTAATACTGTTAGTACACTCGAGGGCAGATTGATGTTCCACCACTCCCTACCCATCAGGCTTCCATGGCTCAGCACTGGCTGCTGCCAGTGGCAGCACTGGCAGCACTGGCACTGGCAGGCAGTGCTGAGCAGTGCTGAGGGCAGGCAACACTGGCAGCAGCCAGTGCTGAGCCATGGGATCGCCCGATGGGTAGGGAGTGGTGGAACATCAATCTGCCCCCGAGTGTACCTAAAGCACTCCTCCCATATTTTGCCCAAGTCCAGCCATGTCTCCCTACACTCTCGCCCGCATCAATCGCTGCCAACATAACCACCGGAGCAGTTTGAACCCACGGCCAGGCAGCGTCGTGCAACAGGCCATTTGTGCCTTTTACGACAGCCGTTAGAACGCACGATGATTATGAGTGCATGACGCAGCACCCACCGTTTTCCGTCGGACATCAGCGTGGAGCAGTCGAGCGTGGTTCATTACGAGTGTTTCCGTCCACTAAATGGACACGGTGATTATGAGGGTAACGACTGCATCAGTTACAGTGGCCGATAAATGATTCAGTCGGGATCGACCGGCCAGGAGTCGCGCGGGCCGGTGACCGCAGGTCGTCCGGTTCACAGGGGTGGGTGAGGTGGAGTGGTAAAGGGTAAATGGGTTAGCGCGAAGGGGGAGCGTGGTCGGCAAGGCTGTAGGTAGGTATAAAAGCTCGAGCTTTCCTAAGTCCCAAACCATCAACGTCTTTGTGCGCGCACCGAGCGTATTCCGCAGCCCCACCCGGGAGCATTCCGCCGTTCGAGTGATTCCCCGGTTCCCACGAGTGCGTGCCGTCGTCTTCGTCGTCACGGCTCGGTTCTGAGGCAGCCAACACCAGTTACCGGCAGCCGGTAGAGCGGCGCGCTCACGATCAATACGCGCTCTGAACACCGGCTCGCGCTCTCCAAACCTCCCCTCGCCGTGCCGCCACAGAGACGACTCTCGGCGGGCTCTACGAGCTCGTCCCGGCGTTTTGCCTCCTCAGATCTAAGCAACAGCCGATAGCTCGGGCCTCGCAACGACCGGGCGTCAGGCGCAGCACACTGACGGTATATCAATATAAAACGAGGGCTAGTGTGCCATTCCCGACACGTTGCTCGCCTTAGAAGGTTTGAGCATCTGCTTAAGAAGTTTATGGATAAATTGTTTAATCAATTTGATAGTTACAGGAAAGCCTGTTGCATGGGAACGCCTGGGGCGTTTGGCGTGAGACTATTCTCGCCCCAGGCGCAGGTGGGTCGACAGTGATCGCGCAGTCGTTCCACGATAAACTCGTCAGCGGCGGGGTGTAACTACCGCCCGTGATGTCACCACAAACCCCATGACGACCTCTCGGGCGTAAACATCCCGCGGGACCTTCCATCGATCACGCTGACAGGGTCGGTCGGCCGGACACTCCGATCTGTCGGACCCGTTACTCGGGTCTGTCGAGTGATACGGACAGGCTGTAGGAACTGCGGCAGTTACTGCGCGTGTTAAACATACGGCGCATGATATGTGCGGGCGTTGCTTTCGCGCGCCGCCGCCCATCCCACGCGTCGGCCCGGCTATCGTGACCGGCCAGGGTCGAGATTTATGTGTAATTTTCAGCGGCGCCGCTGCCGCGCACGCAACATGATAAAGCCGTCCAATCGGGTCTCGGTGACAAAGATACGATCACAGCCGCTAGACGGTGCGCAGATCGCGGAAAGATCGCCCTATTGTCGGCCGGCCCGGCGAGTTTCTCCTCCGCTGTGGACACAGTTAGCCGGCCCAGGAAACCGGCCGTCCTCTCCGTACTGCTGCAGCGGGACGGCCGCCACATGACAGCTCTTCTCGCCTTCGGAGCGTCCGGTTAGCGGAATGTTCGACGCTATCTGCCGCACCATGTCATGTTTCGACACTGACACAAAAACTCTAGTGACTTTTCACTGAACACATCAGGGAAATCTGCCGCTCCTGCCCAGAAACCCACCGAGTTTTTACGAGTGGATCGCGTTGAAGTGTGGCCCTCGTCTTGACTCTCGAAACCGTGCTGAAAATGATACAGAGCGATCCTGTGAAACAGCCCTAATGCGTTGTTGAACTGCAGTTAGGCAGCTTTTAATCACGGCGCTTTGTCAGCGGAATCAGGCCGCAACCAAAAAAAGACACCGCACAACGTATCCAGGAAGACAAAACAGCGGCATTTTGTTGTCAAACATCTTCACTTTTCTGAATCTCTGCACGTCACGTGCTTATCAGTGCGGCATCGCGCCCACATCGCGGAACCACCGGGCTGGATCCATGTTGGTCGGATCACCATCCACGGTCCTCGGAACACACCTTGAGGAAGTGGGTCGGTGGTTGTGGTGTGGTATAGAGAGAGGGGAGCGGCGTCAGGCCCGGCCGGGGCGACCGCTGACCGGCCGACCGGTGCCGCACGTGTTTACACAACGGGCACCGGGCGAGCAGAGCGGCCAGGCCCCAGGGAGCAGGAGAGAGGACAGGAGAAGTCGGCTTTCTGATCTCGGGCCGTCACACTCACTCCCTTGCCACAAGCTGAAACTGATGGCGCTCACTTTAGTGTGCCGCCGTTGCCAAGTCTCTGTGTCGATGTCACGAACTGCTAAGCTAAGTGACTCGAGAGCTGACAGCGCTTCGGGTCGAACAGAGCGACAAAGGTGGGGTTCACTCCAGTCCACCACGCAGCACAAAGGAGCGCTACTTTCCGCGATCGAAACACGCACAATCCACGTCCAATTTCACGGGACGCCTTTGTGAGGCGAGCTGGGCCAACGCACACTTTCCGGCAGTGTCGGAAAAAGGCGGACAGTTCACCAGCCCACTGTCCTGAACAGGGCGCGTACTGAATGGCCAGTTGTCAGTGAGCGCCGGACTCCAGCCGTGTTCAGCCCACTCTTGGACCCGCCTCCAGACCGGCTCGCGATCGTTATCACCCAGTCAGGGTTCGCTCCCGGCCCGAACAGGGACTAAAGGGTCGGACGACATTTTTTGATCGCATACCACCACCGCCAGAAATATAGGTTATCGTCGCGATCAAGGGAAAACACAGTCGCGCGCTCGCTTTGTTTGGCCTAATGGAAATACGCCATACGACGTTTTTGCTGAAGGAGACGAGGAACAGACGGAAACTACACATACCGGGTGCCTGTCGTCACATTCACCGACGTGCAGGTCAGGGATGACAACACCATGTAAAACCTGGTGCAAGTGTCGACGCACCGTAAATAACCCATGCATCAAATACAGACAGTGGTATCGGAGACGGCTGGTGGTGGGTAAATGTGACGGCCACGCACCAGGCTGAGGGTGTTCGTGTCACAAAGACTAGTGGAGCTCTGAAGAAGGATGGCTTTTCATCGGATAAAAACACCCGCCGGCCGCATCATTTCCCACATTCATCTTGTCAGGGAAACGCTTCCTCCTCTATCAATAACACTCGCACAACAATGGCCACCCAATGAAGAACGCGCACGGCAAAAACTCAGCCCGCGCACCAGGCAAACGACATTATCTGCAAGAAGCGGCCGGCCTGGCGCGGGCCACATCGGGCGGCCGACCTGGCATCCTCTGCTCCATCCTTCATCTCCGGGGCCGATTGCCGCGGGGCGAGACAAAAACCGGCCCGGCTCGCTGCAATCAAACAGGTCGACACAGCGCACAGAGAGAGGGCAGCCGCCGACCGGTGCTGAATCCCGCTCACACCGGCCGGCGAAACCGATGCGCAGGAGAGCGCGAAGGCGAGCGAGTGCGAGAAACAAAGAGGGCAGCGCGGCGCGGCGCGGCGGTCAGCGGGCAAAAACGTCCGGCGGCAATGACCGGCGATCCTATCTGGCCGCATACCGTCCTCCGCCGTAAACATCAGCAGGTACGGCCGCCACCGCCGCCCCCGCCGGCCGACCGGACGGGCCTTTAATTTTTAAATGGCGCCCGCCGGCGGAGCCCCAAGCGGCCGGTCGCTGATCCGACGCCGGCCGTGGGAACAGGGCACCGCCACCGGAGCAGCCAGATGCCCCGCGGCGCCTATCGAGCGAGAGGGTCGGCCGGGGGCGACCCCCGCCGGCTGGCCGCGCCCCATCGTCGCGTTCGACGGTCGGAACAATGACGCGGCTGGATCGAATGAGGGGGAGTCGGCGGCCGGAGCGGGACGCCGGGGCGCCGACCGGCGTATCCGGCAGGTGTTCCGCTCCCCGTTTAAAGCTCCGGCGATCAATGTCCGTGACGGCGCCAACGGTCGCTCCACCGCCCGGCTCCCGCGGCTCCGCTCCCCGGGCCAACAGTCACACGGAACTGGCATGGCGTTCTATGGCCGGTGTGATTCCGCCTCCCGGGTCGCCGCTGTCACCAAGCACCGTGCACGTGGGCGAAGGACCCGGCGACCCGGTCTGGTCGCGATAGTGCGTCGCACCCCGCGTGTCACTCTACGAGACACGCGTGCAGCCGTGCTCCAGTTTCGCCGCTGCAGCGCGGACAGCGGCGCGGGGGGCGGGGGTGACAGCTCACGTGTGGTCGACTCAGCAGTCGCAGCACCCCAGCAGCGTCCAGACAGCTCCTTCCCCGCCCTGGGTACCGCCCCGAGCACGGTCGGCCCTGGGGCTCCGAGCTAGCCGCAATCAACAACGGTCGCTCGCCACAACACGCCGGGCGTCCCGTAACGCCTCGAGCAGCGGTCCGGCGGCTCGTCGGCCACCACCCTCCCTCCGGGCCAGCCCAACATCGGCGGCAAACACAAACAAACACAAACACAGCGCGGCCGTGAGCCCGCAGGTCGTAACCCGCCCCTCCGGGCCGAATGACGGCGGGTGAGCCGCAAACCAGCGGCACAAATGGACCGCGATGGCGAGACGAGCAGTCATCACACGCCCATGGAGGAAGATTCCGGCTGTATTTCCCCCTGTTCGTGTGGCGTCCCACCGCCCGAACGTCCTTTTAATGTGCCGGGGCCGTGCCAAGCGAAAGGGTCGATCGAACCGGCCGGCCGGAGCGCTGTATTCAGTGCCAGCGAGAGCCGCATTCTCAGCTCCCCTTCAGCTTCCCTGTGGCCCCTTTCTCCCACCACGCCGCGTCTCCCCGCGTCTCTCCCCGAGCCGGGTGCGCCCAGTGGTCGAGCCGTACCGAACCGGCCGCTTTGTGCGAGGCCGGTCTGTGCCGAGGCCAGCCCTGTGAAAACAAGGACAGCCCCGTCATAACTCGTCTGTGGCGCGGCACAATGGGCCCCGCCGCGCCGGCCGCTCGCCACCCTTTGTCGCCAACGCGCTGTGAACGCCGTCAAACCTGAGTTTTTATCGGCGCAGGACAGGGTGCCGCAGTCTGGGACCGGAGAGGGCTGGGCCCGACGGGGTTCCATCTCATGGTCCCCGCCCAGCGACAGCACCGGTGGGAGATCGGCCGGGGCCGCGAGAGCGACACCGAACAGCCCTCCGGAACGGCGGACACACGGTGAAACTCGCACTGAGGACGGCCCGACCTGGCAACGCTGACCCGATTTCAGCGCTGCGTAATTCGCCGCGGCTTAATTTATGGAGCCCATATAAACTTGATTACGATCGGCTCGTTTAATTGCGACAGCTGGTAAGAACGAGCTGGAGAGTCACACTTTATCCTCGGAATCCTATCACTGATGAGAAAGGGGTCCCGGAGACAGCTCTCAGCATATTGAGAGCGTGTTTCCGCCCCAACAACGGGCCACCAGGGCCGCAAACAAACAACAGAATGCCATCCCCTGTGGAGTACCTCCCCAATGCTCCGCGCTACCGAGCAGCGTCGAACCGCTCTCCGCGGTCGGTGTACTCAGGCGGGGTACACCGTGTACCGCGCGGCAGCCATCTGCCGCCGCTGATGGGTCCGATGACGCCGCCGCCGCCGCCGCCGCCGCCGCCGCCGCCGCCGGTCGATGCCGCCCGCTCGTCCGGCACGTGCCGCCGACAGAGGGTCCGCCGCCATCAGCCGGGGCTGATCATCCCATCCCCTACCCAATCGGCGCCGACGCCACTCGGCTGTCCTCTCCCGTCCGTCACCCGCGCGCCGCTCGCCCCCCCGGGCCGGGCACCGTCCCCCTGTTGCTACCGTGCTCATTGATCCCCACAGTCGGCTGCAGTGTTCACTGGCGGCCGCCCCACCCCACCAGCCCCTCGGTACCGTCAGATTCCCGACCCCTAGCGTTAGCCCCCTCCGCCAGTCCCGCCCCTGGCAGGACGGGCATCTGAGCACTGCGACAACACAGCTCCCGACAGTCAGGAGGGCCGAGCAGGGGAAGGGTGCCACGACAATCACTAGATCGCCCCACCGAACGACGAGCGGCAGTCGAGTAAAAAATCACTCTCTGTTATTATTCATGTAGGCGCCGATTACCCGTAGCAGCTCATAAGCCAATATGGCACGGCCCAGCGAGTGGGGATGAATTAGAGCTCGGCAGAAGCCGACCAACGGCGATGGTCGCCGCCGGCGGAGAGAGGGTCTGTAGGAGTAGCGGGAGGACTGGAGAGAGGGTATCGGTCGGCCGGCAGGGATAAGAAACAAGGCAAACAGAACGGCGGGAAAGCAGGGCACGCAGCAAATGAGAGCGGATGAAACGGCCCACACAAAGAGCAAAACAGCCGACACTGCGAGAACGAGAGTTGAAAGAGGTGAGACAGAGGGACGGAGGGCGACAAAAGGTCGCAGACAGGCGGATATCACCAAACAGAGGCGCACGAGACAGAGAAGCAGGCTAAATCGAAACAGGATAGCGGCGAATAGCAAGTACTCCAGTAGAGGCGATCTACGCGCAGAGGGGCAGAGCAGAACAAAAAGAACTGAAGGATAAAAACGGGATGGGAACAAGGCGGGGTCACGTTGATTAGAGACTGGGACATCCAGGGTTAAACCATAAACGCACGCAGATAAGAACTATTCTCTGCGAGTTGTTCCTTTGGTTGGCCCGGCGCTGTGCAGGTGTGCACTGTGCACGCGCCCGGGTGACCGGTGCACCCGATTACATAACCCCACGGGCTGTGCAGAGCCGACCGTCCCCGGGGTGACGCACGCAGCACGCGCACGCACCTGGGTCAGAGGCGCCACGTGCGCTCACCCGACAGCGAAGCCGGTGACGGAAGAGACAGCGAGCCGTGCAGGCAGGTTAGCCTAGCGAGCAAGGTCCGACGCAGTGACTGAGAGAGGATGAGACGCACCTGCGCGATTTCGATTGACAAGGGATTTATGTTGACATGAGTATGACGTCTATCAATGTGCTGACGGGACACCATCCGCCTGGTTTCCCTGGCAACACCTTGAATCCATAAACGCATCTCGTTGGCCGCTCGTCCAACCCAGCGCCTTGATACAGCAACCGAGTGATGTTTGACATACTCGGTACTATGACTTGAAGTCAGATTACTTCTGCGCGGAACCGTACCTACCGCACACAGTTCATAATAAATCGCTGCTTTAAACCGAACTCAGTCGTGCTCGGTGCCTGACGACAGTGTCAGCTATGCTGGCGCATCACATAATTCGCTCAACGACGGCCGAGCGAAATGCTGTCAAGCCAGTCAATAAAACACACTGAGTGGCGCTAACATCGAGTCAACGCCATTGCATAACCTTCCCAGGCAGCTGTGTTGCAAACGCCTCTGTAAGACGGCTCTGCTAGTGAAGTCAGCAATTCAACCAGCTTCTGGGAAACAGCTCCTCTCACTGGGCTGGCCTGTGGTCCATTGCCGCCTGAATATTGCGACTCTCTCCCTCTGTAATCCTCCTCTTTCTATCGTTATCTCTAATGTGCCTTGTCCTCTCTCCGGACAACATCCTTCAATTTACCTCGCTTTCTTCCTCTCACACTATCCCCTCTCTACCCTCATCCCCTCTCTCCCTCCCTCTACCTCTCCGGAGAGTTCCCTCCCACTCTCCCGGGTGTCCTTGCCCGCTGTGTTTCGGCCGCCGTCGTGTTACGTGCCGGCGCTGTTTACGCATCCCTCCGACGGTGGCGCGATGATTGGGCTGGTCCCCAGTGCGGTGACCTCGCCTCACCCGGCCGGCCAGGACCAAGCGGTGCTGTTGACCCCGCCCGGGCGTCCCGCGCGCTCACACACCGGCCCGATCGGAACCGCTGCGCTGGCCTGCGCTTCTCTGCACGACTCTCGTCCATCTCTCGTGTTTTGAATTTGTCTCTCTCTACACTCAACCATTCCTCGTATTTCTCAGAGGCACAGCGCGCACGCGGCCGCGTGGTCCACCCTCCTGCCCACTAGTCGACCCGTCACCACCGAGTGATCTACTAGACGCCCGCCCGCCGCCCGCCGCACGCCCTTCTCTCCAACAAAGAGCGCACGCCGTCGAAGCAGCGCGTGGGTACGCCGTGCGGCCGGCCTCGACCACAGTGATACAGAGAACGGCTGTGCCAGCTCGCCGCGGCGGCCCTGACGCAATCACTGTCGGGCTGAGGCAGCTCCAACGACCCCGTTCTGTCGCCGGCCCAGCCGCTCAATAGGACCGGACACACAGAGCCGGCGGTCGAGTGGCGATACGGGCGACCGAGGCGCGTGCGACGGAGGACGCGGCGGCCAGTGATGAAACATGCAGGCGGATCGAGTGCGAGACGTGGGACGATTGGCTCAGTTTAGAAAAGGTGGGGAGATATCCGACGCAGTGTGTGGCGAGGTGAAGGGGTTTTTGATGAGGCGGCGTATCATTTTCTGCATGTATACCAATGCCCGGGAGAAGATTAATGGAACCCGTGAGCTCACTCAGGCTCGACTGATGATTCTAAAGTGGGTATTACTTCGAATCGCGATACCATGAAATGAGAATTTCCATCGGGATACGTAGTTTCTGATATCGCTGCTCAACTTACAGCCGCGCATAACCATAATTACCACATCACACTGAAGCAATCATACGGCCAGCGGCGACATTTATCGAGCAGCAAACCTTTGCCGTCAGCGAAAAGGATACATTTCCTGGAAGAAGTCCACGTGTGGAGGCTGCAGGATGTCCAACGCCGAGAGAACCTGCCGACAGACAAACAGAAACAAGTCTCACTCACTGAATCGAGAACAAGCAAACAACATAATCATATACTTCAGTTGACACTCATTATTTCTCAGCACAACGCTGAGAAAATGCACGCTCTATATCACGAATATAAGCGAGAACTGAAAACACTTGACAGCTAAAAGCATTTCCAGTCATGTTTTACATCAGATTCTGCAGAAGACATCAAGTTGTTATCGCTCCGCGAAGCCATTGAGATGATGTTTATTTGAATTTCCATGGACGTGTGGGATGGTTACCAATCATTTTATAGTCAATACTGGGTAGCCGTGATGGGAAAACACGGAAGGGAATCCATCCTCTGAATTCCCCGATTTGTCATGAAACCGGCGGTGACGAGGCGGCGGAGTTTCGCGCCACTGTAAACCAATGGTTAGATTGTTTATGGCACGGCCCATTCGTCGGCATAACTCTTCCATAAAGTCAAATAAGGAGATAAATAAGTTTAGTTAGTTTAATTACGGAGCGAGCGAAGCGAGCGGAGTCTTACGTAGAATAACGGAAATTTCTGAGTATGAGCGGCCGGCCGGCCGTGCGGACGCTTTTGCGAGGCTTATATCTCAGCAACCACTTGACCGATTTACACGGGGTAATTTTTGTAGGGTAGCTTCATTCCTTCTACCAAGTATTGGACTATTCCCGATGCATGTGGGTGACCCCTTATGCACGTGCCACGCGCAAAACGAAGAGGTGTCAGTTTTGTAATTGTTGCAATATCTCGGTAACTACTTGGCCGATTGCGCTGAAAGTTGGCATGTAGGTAGGCACCCACTAGACACTGCATATCCATGTGATAGAGTTGGGGTGCTGCTGCACGTGCGCACGTGCAGGGGGCGTTTCCAGATCTCGAGAACGGCTGGACCGATGGCGCTCAAATTTGGTACACGGTTAGGGACCAGTTAGTAGGGTGCCGTGCACAAGTCAGTTGGGACTCATTCTGCACGTGCGCACGTGCAGGGTGCCGCTTCCAGATCTCGAGAACGGCTGGGCCGATTGTGCTCAAATTTGGCACATCGCTAGAGACCGGTTAGTAGGGTGCCGTGCACAAGTCAGTTGGAGGTACCCCTCGAAATTTCGCACGTGCAAGGCTCACCCTCTCGCTCGCTCCGTTAGTCGCCCCAAAAGGCGCTATACTGGTACTTTTATAACAAGAAACACACAAACGGGTGCATGGTTGTTAACTTGGGCCTGCAACCAGAATGTTCGTATGACACCAGTTGCAAAGTGCTTCGGATGGCAACACACTTGCACAACGTTTAACACAGCATTTACGATGACAATCCTCGCCCTACACCATACAGATTACCCAACCCACACCGCAAAGCTTCAGAAACCCTTTCGGCAATCCCTTCCATCCCAATTTTGTTTTGCTAATCGGCTTTCTTTGTACAATACCATAGCGCTGATTCTGCAACTGAGCAATACCATGCGATCTACCAGCTACACTAGCCATAGCCTGGGGACAATCGTTTTACGGTGTTAGATCTTCAATAGCCATGATGAGATTGAAGGATGAGTGGACACTGGACGAGCCTTGACGTCAGAGCCAGCAGACTCGGCTGACGGGAAATGAGACCCGCTCACTACTGCGATCAAACGCTTCACGTGCCGGGCGTCACGTGTCCCACATTGGCACGTGACGCGTTACTAGCGTCAGAGTCGACCAGTGACGCGGCGTGCATCGCGGTAGAATCATTACCAAACTGATACTGTCCAGTAATGAGTGTGGCGATAACGCACCACGCAGAGGTGGGCCCAATCATTGGTATTGATTGACCTCTGCGGTGCGGTGTCTTTCCACCGACACCGAACACGGGCCGAGCACGGCCGGAGACCGGCAGTGGCCAGCTCCCGCGTCATAAGGCTGACCGCCGGCCATCAGAGCGGTACCTTTACTTGATTGGTGTTCGGTGACAGCGACCCGGCACAGCACGGCAGTCGCACGTCTGTCGCTGCCGCAGGTCGTGACGCGGTTGCCGCGCCCACCATGCCCAGACGGATCGGTGTGATTTGACACCTGGCAACCCTAGCAGCCTGCACAAACGCGCACCTGGCCCTGAGTGAGACCCCGTCCGCAGCAGCAGCTTGCCGCCCAGAGCACGGAGAACTCGTAAAACTGCATCATTCATGTGGCATGCAAGGCGCTTCCGCACATCCAACCTACGACGAGCAAAGCGCAACTGAATTACTCCGGCATTTACATTCTGATCCTAAACCATATTTGAGCCCTGTCATCAAATCCAAAATGGCGTCTTGCACGACCCCGCCTGAGGCCGTCCGTTCGAGTGAAAACTTCTCACAGCGGGCAGTGACAGCGGCCACTGACAGCAGCCGGCAGCAGCGGCGCGTGCAGCGGTCGGCGGCCGGCTGAGGTGGGCTCGACAGACGGGAGGGAACAGCACGGCAGCGCACCATACACCCGTGTTCGTCTCCGTGATTCGCCGCTCGCGCCCCTCGCCGGCCGTCTGTCGGCCGCTGCTGCGGCCCGCTTCATTAGCTGCCGGCCGACCGACGGCGGCGGCGGCGGCGGCGGAGCGGGCCGGTTCAAGGACCCGCCGCCGGCCGAACAAAGAGCCGACATGTGGCGGCCGGGCCGTCACCCGTCAGCGGCGTCCGCTCCGCCGACCCGACGACCCGTATGCCGTACATAGAGCGGCCGTTAGCCAGAGAACTGGTGGCCGTCGTCGACGACCCGCATGATAAACACAAACAGGATACTGGACGGACCTAATGCAGAGAGAGACCTATGGCGGCCGGACGGCTCGACCAGTGGCGCCGCCCAGCGGACCAGCTGAAAACTACAGCCGAGGCGGTCGGCGAGCGATCAGCTGATGGCGTCCTCGGCTCGACCCCCTCCCCCTCCCCGACCGCCCCACCCCACACTCAATACAGAGCCCCAACTAGCCAGAGCTTCCACGATCCGGCATCGGCACCAATTCTACTTACGTTGTCGTGTTTGAAGAAGCAGAGCATCTTGAGCTCTCTGAAGACGCGCTTGGCAGAAACCAGGGTCTGGAAGACGTTAGGCATTTTCTTCAGCGCCACTCGTTTGCCGTCTCGTGGGTCTGTGACGGCCCTGAAACATCGGAAACACAACATGACGACTTGTTAGCCGGCTAGGCCTTGACAGCGCGCAACACAACAACACGGACGAACAAACAACTGACGAGATCGCGTCACCGAGGCGGCCGTGCCAACGACAGGACGAGGTCGTCTTTTTCTGGTGGGACGCCGTCGGACAGGGAGAGGAAGTGAGCAGCAGCACGGACGGCCCGGTCACGTCAGGCCATCCATCACATTCGAGCGTCGGTCGCCCGGCCGCCGGCCCTCTTCCCATTCCTCAGGACACACATTCGATGCTGCCACCCATCTGTCATCTGGTATCTGCCCTCCCGGATCCCCAGTGTGGCCGAGCGACCATTCAGTGTCGCAGAGCGCCGCTCCCACACACAGTCTGCACGCCATACACGCGCGAACACTGCCGGCCGGCGCCCCAAAATTAGACCGGTCTCAGAGCGGCCCCGTAAACACGGCACAGGGCGGACCCCACGCGTGGCCCGGTTCCGCGGCCGCGCCGCGCGCTCTCTGAGACTGCAGCTCGACATCAAGGACTCGACACAGCAGCAAGGTCCGTGTTCGCCAACGGGCGTCCGGGGACGTAAGGACGCGCTTCGCTGGCTCCACAGTCTCCCACGCTCGCTGGAAGCCCGGACGGCCAAACATCGGGCCGATGGGGTCCGTTTTTCGGCGGCGCTCACCGTCCAGCTTTGCTGCGCCCGCTGTGCGACAAAAACGCGAGCCGGTGAGCCGCGCAGCAGCGCCCAAGGTGAGGCGCGCAGCTGCGCGGTCGTCCGGCGCGTCCGGCACCGATAGACTCGGACGACCGCAGCGATACAGCCGGCTGGGCACGGCCGCCTGACAGCCGCGTGACAGCCATGTGACGGTGTCTCTGCAGCGCGACAGATGACCGATACGTCGGCGTTGTGATGGTCCATCAAATGGGGCGTGACCGGCCAGTACACCGTCCTGGTCGGTTCGGGTGATTCCCAGATCTTATTGCTCCCTCAAACCCCACCAGTGCTGTCATCCACCAGACAGTGTATCACAGCGTCACTAGCACTGTCTGGTGTGTAAAAGCGCCGTTTGCGGTCTAGACATCACACTAGCTTCCCCCCCCCCCCCTCCCCGTCTAGCCGACCAGTCTGCATCCGCCACAGTCGACCGCCCCATTTGTCTGCCGTCGCCCTCCCCGTGCTCTCGCGGTCCGTTCCATCGCTACAGACGGCCTCGTCGGTACCCGCCACATACATCCCCCGTCGGTCCCCAGCGGCAGCCGGCATCTGTCGAGGGGACGGCCAGCCAGCCGCGCGGCGGTTTGGGTTTCAGCGACGCCGACGGAGGGGCAACGAACGCCACCGCCGCGCCGTCGGTTGCCGGCTGCGACTGTCGTGTCCCGTCGCCGTGCCGTACCGCGCCCCGCCCCTGTCCGAGTGCGCTCGGCAGCGGCGGCCCTGAGCCGGGCCGGCGAGAGCTGCCGCTCCACCTCAGCCTTGACGTGAATCGGCGCCGCTGGCGCTCGGCCGAGCGGAGAGAGGCCGGAGAGAGAGCTGCGTGCGCCCGCTGCGTAGTGCGTGGCGCCCACTGCGCAGCGGTCTACACGAGTTGTGGCCCGACGTGGGCATAACGCATAGGCTTAGCAGCACGCCGAATGGTCGTGCTGGCCTGAGGCGCAGCTGCACGCACCGAAATTACAGAATGGCATGACACACCATGACTCAACATATAAAACATGGCCGAACGGTCAGCACCGTTCACCGAGCCAAGCATTGGCCAGCATAGCTCAGCAGTCGACACACTTTGATACTGCACAAGACACGCTGCCAAGCAAACTCATCAAACCGACGAGTAGTGATAGCAACAGTGACAAAAGACTGTCTGGAAGAGTCTATTGCCTGCGGCGGCACCCAAGTTACCACAGGGTCACGTCGCCATCTCTAGAAGCGGCCGAGCGAGGCGCGACAGGCGCCGGTCGCCGATGGGCCGTGACAGGAGTGACCACGGCCCATCGGGCGCCATCCGTGACTAGAGAGGGCAGCCGGGCGCCAACCGTGACCCCGCCATCATAACGCCACGGCCGTGCAGGAGACAGCCGGACCAGGCCGAGTCATAGTCATCGAGTCAGTAACCGAGTCACAGTCGCCGAGTCACAGTTACCGAGTCAGAGAGTTACAATCATAGAGTGAGCGAGCCAATGACTTAGTGAAGTGAATCATTAGATATGTGAATCAGTTAGTAGTCAGCTAGCTAGTCGCGGTTTCATTCGAGCGTCTACCTCTCAGGACTCAGTACCCAGTAAATGTCGAACCAGCCCAGGCCTTTTACACGGAACTGACCGTTCGCAGTCGCCCATGGTCGCCAAACTCGCTGTCTCAGCCACGGAGACGCAACAACAGAGATCAGTTACCAACTGTTCCCAACCCGGAGCTAGGTCGCATCCGTGTCATGGAATGGAGGCTCAGCGCTGCAGGGGACACGGATCCGGTGGCACGCAGATGGCTCGCGGCATGTCACAGCGTCCCCAACCATTCCGCGTATCCGACACATGTGTGCGGGCGCGAGTATGCCCGGATTTTCCTCCAGCGGCGCCGCTGGAACTCTGAGGCGGAACTACGGAGCCGGGCCGTGACACCCGGAGTTGGGAGCGCTCCAGGGGAGCTCCAGCGAGGGCGGAGTCTAAAGAGCACGTGGCGGAGAGAGCAGGCCAGTCACAGGCCTGTGTGCCAAGATTGACAGGCCCCACATCAATGCTCCCGTCGACAGTAGTCAGGCCAGAACAGGGAACATTGCAGCCAATCTGGATCTCACCCGTCTCACCTAGACCAGAGTGGCGCTTTTATCCCGCCGACCCCGGCCAGACCCGCCGGCCGGGCTGGCCGACCTGACCCTGACCAGACCCGATCACCGGAAAAACGAAGGGAAACACGCCTCCCCGTCCCAACCCCAGCGCCAAGGGAAGCCACTCATGCGCGCTCCAACCGCCGTCGTTCCAGCCAATAGGTGCACCGCCGCCGTATGGGGCGCGCGGCGCCGGACATGCCACTGCCATGGCGGCGAGCACGCCGTTTTTGCTGCTGCCTGAGAGGGCATCGGCCGTGGTGGGGACCGGCGGGGGAGCTGACGAAATGGGACGGATTCAGTCACTCCCAGCACAGGGACTCCCTCCTACCCACGACCTGGCGCCGGCTCCGGCTGCTCTTACGCCTACTCCGCATCATCAGAAGCGATACATTATCCCTGGTATAAATAGCAACGCGCGCACCTACGCAATGCGCTGAGAATCATTGGGGTACTTACCAATTTATCTGGCTAGTGCGTATACCGATCTAAAGGGTAGATGTGTCTTTGTTATAGGTACAGGGACCCGCAGTTGCTTCTGTACACACTAGTATTTCAGCGTATTCTTTGCCTGTGACACCGTTGGAGGCGAATTGGGAAATGATTGTGTGCTTATTAAAACCACCATCTGAAAGGCTTTAAACTGATGTGCTGCTCTCCTAATTCAGTGAACTTTTTATGGCTATATCAGCAAAACATTGTTTTCAGCGCTTTTTCCTGCCCCATTCCTTCTAAAACCTGGAACCGCTTATTCCATTTACTCCTGCCATCTGACGATGGTCGTGCTGACTACTAGTTCCGGCGCTAGTTACTGCTCCAGTTTTGCACCCGGCACAAACTCAGGCGGCACCGGGCCGTGGCTCGACCAGAGGAGGGTCGGACCGAGCCGACTGCCTGGGGCGCGGTTAGATCGGACGCCGTGCTGGGGAAGGGGACGGGAGTGAGGGGGAGGGGAGGAGGTGATCACGTGGTCCGTCCAAGCTCGCAGACGGCCTGTCCTGCGCCCAGCCATGTTCCGTGATCCAAAATGGCACGAGAGCTGTGGAATGCGTGGAGGAGACGCTTCGAAAGCGAACTTCAGCGGCACTAATTTGCCATATTCTGTGGAGATAAATGAATATTATCTTATGCAGAAAAAAAATTGTATGCCTAAGCTGTATAGTGTATAAGCTGTATCTTTTTATAAAGTTGTAAATAGGATTATTTTTAGGGACTTATGGTCTCGTATACACAGTGAATTGTGTTACATTAAGCCGTTTCGCTGTTATGGTTACTAACTGAAGAGTTATCCTTTTTTCTCACAGGGAATGACAATACAATAACAATACGAATAAAACCAGACGTTTCGCACAAAAAAGTGCCTCTGTCAGTGGCAAGAAATAAGTAATTAGGCATACATGTTTTCTTTCGATAAAATCGATGAAGTAGTTATCTTTATTTTCTAAGATATATTTTCAGCAGTTTTTTAAGCACATCATGGAAGCTTATAAACATTTGTGTATTTTATCGGCAACCCGGCTGGCCAGACCGAGACGGTGCCGCATATAGTTCTCATCGATGTTAAACCTATACACTTATTTTTCTCCACTGACGAAGGCACGTTGTTGTCCGAAACGTTTGGTTTTATTCGCATTGTTTTTATATTGTCATTGTCCGTGAGAAAAACATACTCACATTGACTGGTCTCAGTTCATGTAGAAATTGTTGCATATTCATCAACACAGATAAAATGAATATTAGCCCTCACTACACATATAAGTAGAGGTAGACCGCGCCCCCTGTTTTTCACCAATAAATCGCGATTCGCGGCAAAGCGAAGGATTGCGACGATTCTTTGGTGCCCTGGAGTTAATCAAATTTACAACTTCCCGGAAAATTAAATAGTTAGCCCTGATCATTTTTGCATCTTGTCTGATAATTTTAAATCCCTGAACCAAATTACCTTTAACCTGTGATTATTTTTCCCAAGATCATGTCAGGCCAGAATAGCAATTGAAAGTCAGCGCACATCTTCTGTGTGTTTCCATAGTCGTTTCGTAATTAGCAACGTGACAACATGTGAAGTATACTATCTAATGTTTGTCTCATTGATTGTTGTGGGTGCCAAGGTCACGTGAAACTCAGGGTTAAGGTCATTTACTTGAAATGATATCGGTTAACTTCCTTAAATTCACACCTTTT